TTATCAATACCTTTTTTATTATTTTTTATTAGTTTATTTATATTTTATTATTATTTATTTATTATATAATATATTATTAACCTATTAAATATTTGTAATTAATATGTTATTATATTATTATATAAGATATCTTATTTATTATATTTTTATATTATTTAAATATTTTTATTATATAAATATCACTAATTTATTAAATTAACTATAATATATTAGTATAATATAATAAGCATGTTGAATAACTCTATATTAATTACATTTAATATATTATGTTAGCTTTTATATTAACACATTCTCAAATTCAAAACCAAAACACCTAAAATGTGTTTTGGAATAAGTGATGTGTTTTTTTGTTGAGGATGATTTAACTTAAAACATCTAAAATGTGTTTTGGAATAAGTGATGTGTTTTTTTGTTGAGGATGATTTAACTCAAAAAACACTATGGTTTCTAAACATATGGTGTTTTGTTTTTGACAAAAATACTATAAAAATAAGTAAAACACCGTGGTATTCAAACGGAACCTAAATTTGTTGTTTGGAGTAGTTGTTCTCTAGATGAAAATAAGAATAACGTTGCAGACCTATGATAATATCTCAATATTAAGAAGGGTTAATAGCAGATGGACCCAATATACTACCGCCAAATTGAACTCACTATCCTTGTAGTTCTGTTTTAGCATATAGACCTCCCGAGTGAAAACTTACTGACCTTTCAAGGGGTCTATCTGCAAACATATTTTTTTTAACGTAGTGGTCTTTTTTGCAAGAATATAACTCTTTCAGTGGTTGTAAGTTGACAGTACCGGGGGCATATTTGCAGGTAATAACCTATTAAAATCACAGAAATTCCTATAAAAGATGAGCCTTTATGCTCCGTAACCTATACAAGTCTGATAAGAGACTGTTATTTGACTACAATGAGCCTTGTCTCTTCACAAGTGACTGATTGGTGAAGCTTACAATTTCTCCATTTACATATATCCTCAAAATCACAGATCCACAAAAATTAAACTCCAAAAGAGGGTGCAAAAAAAAAAAGAATTCGAATAAAAAGAATGCCGATGCTAAGCTTTTCCAACTCGTTCCTACAAAAGGTAGCAGATGTTGTAAAATGATGAGTGATCATCTCCATGAATATGCACAATTATATGGTTAGCTGAACCTTGGTAGTGAATCCTGTAAAATTAGAAAACAGAGATCTAAAGTGAAGGTGTGCGCATATTCAATAAAATGTTTAATTAGTACAACACGAAAGTTTCGTTAAAGCGCTACTCTTATCTACAAATAATAGCAAGAGACTCTAAGACATAAGATAACTAATTATGTAGAACTTTTCTGAAAAAACATATAAGAGTCTCCATCCTTAAGTAATATGATGGCCTGGGGTAAAAAAAATGTGAAAATAAAAAATAAACACTATTGAACTTTCATTCTAGACTGCAAAACTTAATTGTTCAGTCTGTAACTATGATGGCATTTAACATTAAAAACTCTTTTGAATGCAAAATGTGGAGATTGCCCACCCGCTTTTTTTTTCTGAAATAGGAGATTGCCCACTCTTACCCATGAATAGCAAGGAAAAGAAAATTCTTACCTCTGGAGCCTTCTAAAATTCATTTAGTGGTATTTTAAGAGAGAAGAAAGAAAGAAATAGGTTTCAAATTTGGTTAATGAGGGTAAAAAAAATACAAGCAAACATGCAAAACATACAAAAAATATCTACAAATTTAAAGCAACCGGAAATCAATTCCATGTTGTTGCCAGATTATAGATAGAATTACTAGAATAGTAGACCAGAGACAAAAATCTGAAAATTACAGCAGACCAGAGATGGTTTAAGTACATTCTACAATCTTGTTGAATGGCTTGTTTCCATGTAAAGCATGTAGAAAAGATAGACTATAGCACATAAGAAGCAATTAAGATATCGTATCACCTGAGTAAGAGCACCGAACTCTTGTACATCCTTGAGCTGGAATCACGAAACATATCTCTTTTCTGCATCCTCATTTTTCCAATAATGAAAATATACAAACTGGATGAGTATCTGAAAACAACCATTAAGGAAGTTCTATCTCCATCTCATCCTGGTTAATCCTCACAGGAGCCAAAGGGGATACTTGTTTATTTCTTTTTTTTTAAAAGAATCAAGAAGCAGTTATAGCAAGGATAAATGACTTCAATTACCTCATCTAGTTAATTAATTGCACGTAGCAAACAATAATATCCTTTTAGCTATAGAATAAACCAAAAGGATAATAGTGTGCACAGAAGTATGTTTAAAGGATACAAAAGCATCAAGAAGAACACAACCTGCTGCATCGACTAACCATGGCATGTTAGGCCTGATTGTGGACCAATCCATGCTATTTACAAGTATACTGCAAAATGAAAAAAGAATGCACATGTAAAATTCACATATAAATCAACAAATGGTGTAAGGGCATATATGTGAACAATCTTACAGAGAATAAGTCAAAAGATAAACCAATTGGAGAAATATGATTAACACTACCTCCCGACATAAGTCGCGTTTCCCATCAAAGCAAACATAAACATCATAGGATTGAGACCCTGCAAAAAGTAAGAGTACTTATAATCATCCAACACAAGGAAAAGATAGTGCACAAACAGTTCAACTTAAAATTGCACAGAGAAAGCAAGATCAGTGTATGTTGTAATGGAAACAACTTAAGGTGTTAAATATATCAGTTACGAGATAAACCATAATGGAAAGCATAAGTAAAAATTACTTGCCTCAAAGTTGCCTCTTCTAATCTGCAAAGAAGTAGAAAAAGGAAGGTTTAAATAATATCAGAATCCTTAGCCTTAGATAATATAAATGAAAAATATGCTAACAGTCACTTAGTTAATAAATTCATTCTACAGAATGATCATTGAATTAATATCCTAGTCAGCTTGCATGATAACTTTGAAAACAATTCTAGTGTTCATCAATCAAAGGGTGTATATCTTCAAATAAAATGAATCCAGTTATGGAGTGCAGCCTCACATTTAACCATATTTGTGGAAGCCGCCCCCCCATATAAATAGCAGCCATTGCCCAACCGAGAATGCTTGCAATCTCAGTTCCTCCACCTCCATGACTAACTGATGAGTCTACAGCCTTAGACTGCAAATAATAAAACACAGTTCATTCAGAATTGTTCTAAGTAAAAAAAAAGTGGCAAAAGAATTTCAGATATACATCTTCGTGTAAATGCCTTCTGTTGAGAGAAAAAAGACAAAATTATTATTCTCACAAACTATAACCTATCCTAAATAGAGATATGAGGATTTACCATAGCTATTATGGATATTGATCCAAGTATCCAAATATCTAAGTAGCTGAACAATTAACAACGCCAAACATCTTCAATTACCTGTAGAAGTTTGCGGCCCACCATTATGACCATTCCATGAGGTGAATCTCTAAGAGAAGGATTCGCAGAAAGATGAAAATGATAGGTACAAAGAAGAAAAAATGACGAAGAAACCTGGACATATAAAAGTATAGATACGGTAAAACTCTATAATATCATCTAAAAAATGAAAAGAAAAATAATAGTCCCTGCACACTGAGTTTTGGCTGTACCACGCAAAGCATATTTTTAGTTGACAAATGTGGAGCAGAATGTCTAGGAATAAGAAGAGGTTCCCTTGACAAGCGCTGATCACGAGCGAGAATATACGATGATCTGCCAGAATCCCGTGAATTTCCTAACAATATTCCCGCCATAGGCACTGGACTGCTTGATAGAGAACGCGCTGACCTGGAAATTTCAAACTAAAAGAGGTCAAATTCCAGACCATGGAATAAAATTGGTCATCTTTATGTACTTCAAGACAGAATATTGTGAATCCAGAACTAAATTTTACATTATACATGCTCTTTCTCTTCCTTCAAGCAACAGTTGCTAAAGTATAGCTCCATATCAGAAAAAATTGTGCCCCCATCAAATTAATTTTACGTATTTAAATAAAACTCACCAATTCAAAGTTTATTTTATTTGAACGGTCCAAATTAACAGTGTTGTGCTTAAATTAGAACTGCAGATTTGATAAGGTATCATATTTCAACAGAACATATATAATCCTTAAAAATCAGGAGTATCATAACAACAATCATGAATATAGAAAATCATTCATTCAAGAAGGTAAAATATCATTATACGAATTTAAATAAAAAAACAGGTAATACATGTAATATAGGTCCCTTCCGGCTGAACCGTGGTGGTGTGTTGCTGGTGAAGAGACCAGAATTGGTGAGCTTGGAACATGAAAACCTTCATTTACAAGGTTAGATCCATTGCCATGATCTCCAGTAGCTATGTCTTCTCTTTCATCAATTTTGTACAATAGATTCTCCTTTTCTGATCCATCCTCCTGAAGTCAGCTCCACAAACAAGTCAGTGTCTTGTAAGTGGGTGTCACAAACAAAAGAATGAATAACAAAAATATTTGAATAACAAAAATATTAATAAATATGTCCCATATCCCTTGGTTGGTATACGTCAGTTTGTGGTTATGTTGTTTTAGCTTTTACAAGTATATGATTTCTTGTCATGAATCTTGAGGTTATATAATAGCAAAGCAGCAATACTCTTGGATTCTAAATGATTCAAACACTAGTGCATGTATGGGTATTATTAGAATACAAAATTATAACCCTCAACCCTCACCACAACTTCGGAGTTTTGGTGTAGATGAGATCTTAAAATGGTGTTAGAGCAACCTGGCTTCAAATCCTACAAGACACGCATTTAAAGAGGATTTAGAAAAACACATCAGTACATAAGATAGTCCGGGTTTTGGTCTGTTAAAAGGAAGTTCAACCTTCAAGGGTATATTAGAGTATCAAATTGTAGCCTTCAATCCTCATAACTTCAAATTTTTGGGGCAATGGGAGGGATTTTAAGAGGCAGTATACTTGCTATTCCTGATATTACATGACATGTACACAAGTGTTGGAGCCCTAGCTGCACATGTGGGTGCTTGTTTGTATGTGCATTTGCTAGTTGCTACAATTATGTGATATGGATGTGCACTTCCCAAATGCGATGGCTAACAATATGGATTTAGCATAACAGTCTATAAGCAAAACAATACTAAAACAGGTTTCTCCATATTAACACTAGGGGATTTAATCTTCAAGACTTTCAATGTATCTAGCACCCCAACCAAAAAATACGATATTGAAATGAATGGCTGTCCATTTCATGTCAACATAAAATGTCTTTGTTTCTAGGGGCATAACAAGATAACATGAGTACCTGAAGAATGGAGTGATAAATGTATTAACATAGACAGAAGTCATAAAGATAACATGAGTTAGAGAGGTCAAGCTTTAAGATATACTGGTGCTAGTCGAATCTCCTTGTTGTCATGATTCTAATATTAACTTAGAGAGACTGAGCAGTATAAAGTGCTAAATAACATTAAATTAAGTGTTTTGGTGAGTTAACTAAAGAAGCAAATGGCGACAATGAAAAATCATATTAGGGAGGAACAGGCATAAATATAGCATTCATGTCGCCCATATTAAGATAATTGTAACATTTAGCCTTTGACAGTGCACATGGATATGGCATGAGAACTTGAACAATACCAAATCATAAACAAAAGCAGAGAATTTTAATTGACTTGATGCGCTTAGCACAATCTTATTCAAGAAAAACTGTATGGCATACCCCAAGTTTCGGAAAAAAGACATTAAAATCTGACCTTATGGAGTAGACTCTTTTTGTTAGCTTTCAGCTGAGGATATATGTGACTGTAATATACAGTTTGTGATATCAGAACCGGTGAAGTAACTGTGTACAACTGCAACTCAAGATGAATAGTATTTTAGAGAGAAAAAGAATTAATCACATACTAGAATAACAAGTACTGGAACTTATGTTAAGATTCATACCAATGCCATGTAAAATTGTGTTGGCAACTGCACAAATTAAACAAAATTAATTCAGTATCTTTGAAAGCAATACCTGGCTAGTAATATAGTCAATGGAAATATGTGCTTGGAAGCAACTATAAAATACATAAATTTTAACGTCCAAGAGTATATTTCGATTACAATATATGTTTGCACAAATGCATATTTGTATCACGTATATAGAAACATAAAAGTGAGGACTTATAAAAACTTAAAACTAATCCAAATCTAGAAAAAACGAGAAAATTTTTTTCCATACGAAGTAAACAAGTGGCACACAAAATTCCTAAAGGGTTACCAACATTAAAGGCTTGTATGGAACTTACAGTTGCCGGCTCCAACCAACAGCCAGTAAGATTGAAAAGATCTCTGTAGATTGTTAAAAATTGGAACGTCAGTAACTAGAACTATGCGTAAAAGTAATTGTCAATATGTACCTTGAAAGCATATTAATATCAGGAAGTATTAGTACATAAAACTGTGAGAAAATATCAACCAAATAAAAAAGTGGCGCACATTAGATTAAGATTTCACAAATTGAGGAAGTTTTCAGCAGAAACATATACCAACAAAATTTCAAGAATAACAAATTCAATAAAAGATGGTGAATTTTTTTAGTAGAGTAGAAAAAACGAAGAGGTGGGCTAAAAAAAACTAACCCATATTAAGCAATTAATCCTCAGAAGCCCCACAATCTAACCATAAGGTTTTCAATATTAACCAACCATGAAGACGGATACCTATCTTTCCTACTAAGATTAATCTCCACAAGGTTTCTGTTAGATGTTTTGGTCAAAACCACTTTCCAAAATAAGTTTTCAAACTATATATATATATTAACTATAAGTACTTTTCATAAATGCTTAGTAGCCTAGTGAAAAGTTAATGTTTTGGTGTTTCAAAAGGTCCTCTGTTCGAGACTTGCCAACGGCAAGCCGAAAAGTATTTTATTTTAATTAATCCCTCGTAAGTTCTAGTGGGTTGTGGGTCGTGGGCTCGTGGGCCATGGGCCGTGGGCCGAGGATCAGGGCTAATCGGGCTGAGGTGCTAAGTGACGTTTTGTTAGGCGCACTTTGCACTTCGCACGGAGGCATCGGGGCTAGGTGGCGCGTCACGTTGGCGGTCACTATGGTCGCCACGAAGGTTGCGTTGTAGGCTGCTTCGCAGCGTGAGGACGAGCTACGCATTCGCACAAGGGTGTGACCCTAATGTTCTCAAAATCAGACGAGGTTCGTCGAGGTTCGTCTGATTCACAAGATCAGATGAGGTTCGCTTGTCAAACGAGGTTTGCTTATATGACGAGGTTCGCCTGTTCGACGAGGTTCGCTCTTTCGACGAGGTTCGCCTGTTCGACGAGGTTCGCCCGTTCGACGAGGTTCGTCTGATTTGTTGAGATGTGACCCTCGCGTTTCGTAGTAACGCATCCATTGATTGCCTCGTGTTCAGAAATTACTGCATGCAGCAGTTACAACAGTATTTAGAACAATTTAATGTATTGATGTTACAATCATAATTGTCATTGTGAATTGTAATAGTTGTATTAATTGATGGTGACTCTTGAGCTGGTCTTAGAGGCCTATAAATAGCGTCCCTTGGGCAGCTCTTGTAGTTGTCTAGAGAACTTGGAATACGAACATCGGATCGAAGAGATATTGACGTTGTTGTTGTTATGCTGCTGCTGCTGCAGAAACTATGCCCGCAGGAACTTACCCTAAAACCGAAAGGTTTTGAACCGAAATGTTTTGAGATCGAGGAGATCTTTGCCTTGACCGAAAGGTCTTATAGATCGAGGAGATCTTAACAGTACTAGGTTGGTGCACACCAAAGTACTGTACTGCTGTTCCTGAAAGCAGTTTGGCCTTGGGATCCTTACATCGGAGTAGGTCAAATATTACTTTAAGCACAGCGTTTCACAAACGCACAACAGTTAACTTGAAAAAATTTAAAATTACAGCACATCAAAATTTTACTGTTTTATTTCAGATTTAACCACAATCTCTAATAATCTTAAAGCAATATTTTTTGATCTACTATGGATCCTGCGATGACTCTTGGAGTGGACTGTCTTAAGTTAGAGAATTTTGACGGATCCAACTTTAACGCATGGCGTCGGAAAGTGATTTTTGGGATGCAACTCCTAAAAATCTACTATGCAGTTTCTGAGGAGAAACCTGACTTTGAAGAAGACTCTGAGTCTGAAACCTCTTGGGCTAAAGATGATCATTTCTGCAGGAGTTATCTCATTAACTGTCTGGCTAATCATTTAACAGATGCTTACACGAACAAGGCCTTTGTAAAGAAAATCTGGAATGCTCTGGAGGAGCAATATAAGGATGAAGAGAACCTTTCCAAGTCTCACCTCATTGACAAGTTTCTTGACTTTAAATTTGAAGATAACACTGAGGTTTTACCTTAAGTCAAAGAGCTCGAAAAGCTTGTTATGAAGCTGAAGGATGAAAAGATTAATCTTTGTCAAACATTCATTTCGGGAGTAATTATCAACAAGCTTCATCCATCTTGGATGTCATTCTCCACAGACATTCGAAGAAGGAGAAGACATGTGACTCTATCTGATTTGAAAAGGTTCATTCGGATCGAGGACGAGATTCGGACTCGCACGAAGAATGAGCTCCTAGCTAAGCAAAAGACATCTGCTAACATGGTGGTTGCTAACTCTGAGAAGGGTACCAGTTCTTCTTCTAAGAAAAAAAACCTTTAACAAAAAGAAGAACCATAATCCGAAGAACCTGAATGTTCAAAAGAAAAATTTTAAGAAGAGCGACAAATGCTTCAACTGTGGGAAGTAAGGATATTTTGCCAAGAACTGCAAAGCACCAAAGAAGAGAACAACACACAATGTTAATCAAGTTGACAATTGTGTGGCTATGCTCTTCCAAGTGACAACTCCCAACAACGTTTCTGGTTGGTGGTTAGATACAGGTGCTACATGTCATGTCTGCTCTAACAGAGATTTGTTCTCTTTCTATGTTGCTACCAAAGAGAACGTATCAATGGCTGATCATTCTGTGGTTCCTGCTCTGAAAACTGAGACTGTGGTGCTGATTCTTTCTTCAGGGAAGACTCTCACATTGAAGGATGTGAAACATATTCTCTCAATTGTCAAAAACTTAGTCTCTGGAAGCCTGCTGTGTGACGTCGGTATGAAGTTGGATTTTCAAGGAGGAAAGACTGTGTTATTATTTAAGAAAATGTATTTTGACAATGCATATCGTACTGATAGCATGTATAAGATCAATACTATTGTACCCAACTCAGTTGTAAATAAAGTATCATCATCTGCTTATTCCTCTGTATTATGGCACAATAGGCTAGGACATATAAATTATAGAAAACTATCTAGCATAGAGAAATTAGGATTACTTTTAAAATATGGGGTAACAAACCTGAGAAGTGTGAAGTCTGCGCGTAAGATAAGCTGACAAAAAAATCATTTCCAAGTGTCACAAGGAGCACCAACCTATTTGATCTGATTCACTCAGATACTTGTGATTTTAAGAACTTCGTCACCCAAGACGGCATGAAATACTTCATCATCTTCATTGATGACCACTCTCGCTTCTACCACATCTACCTACTAAAATCTAAAGATGAAGCTTTCAGCAAGTTTGTCGAGTTTCGGACTCGAGTGGAGAAGCAGCTTGGACTTCAGGTGAAAAGACTCATGAGCGACATAGGAGGAGAGTACCGATCTAAGGAGTCGGAGGCATACTTCAAGGAGCATGGAATCATTACTAAAACTACTACTCCGTATTCTCCACAATCTAATAGAATTACAGAAAGAAAAAATCACACATTGATCGAAATGGTAAATTCGATGCTAATCACATCCGGTCTACCTATATGCTATTGGGGAGTGGTTTTGCTGATAACAAACTGGATTCTGAACAGAGTACCCTATTTTAAAACTGATAGTACTCATCATCAGTTATGATTGGGATATCCGGATCCTTTGGATAGTCTCAAAGTGTGGGTGTGTCGCATATGTTCGAGTTCCAGATATCAGAAGGCCTAAGCTCAGATCAAAGATAAACAGATGTGTGTTTCTTGACTTTGCTGAAGATAGTGATGCTTGTAGGTTCCTTGACCTTGGAACCAACTCCATCATTGAAACTCGGGATGCAGAATTCTTTGAGGATAAGTTTATCAAAGATAAAAGTTTATTGTTCAAACATATAGTAGAGAATGCTAGTACGTCAGATGTACCAAATGAGCCAGTTTCGCGAAAAACTGAAAGTATCAATGATGAAGGAGTTACTGAACCATCTTCCAAGCGTGTCAGGAGACAGAAAGATTTTAGAGATGACTTCATCACCTATAATGTGGAAGGAGACTCACATACTTTCCAAGAAGCAATGCAGTCAACAGACGTTCTTCTGTGAAAAGAAGCTATAGATGATGAGATGGATTCATTGATCCAAAATCATACTTAGGAGTTGATGGATGTACCTGTAGGTGCAAGGCCTATCAGTTGTAAGTGGATCTTTAAGAAGAAGTTTCGTCCTGATGGTACTATTGAGAAGTACAAAGCAAGACTGGTAGCGAAAAGATTCTCTTAGAGAGAATGAATAGGTTTCTTTGATATCTATGCACTAGTTTGCAGGATCATTACTATCAGAGTGCTTATCGTATGGGCGGCGATAAAAAGATTCGTCATACATCAGATGGATGTGAAGACTGTCTTTTTCAATGGAGACCTCACAGAAAAGATCTACATGGAGAAACCAGAAGGACTTGATGTTCCAGCTGGTAAAGTGTGTAAACTTATTAAGTCTCTATATGGACTAAAGCAGACACCGAAACTCTGACATGAGAAGTTTGATGGGGTTATTCACTTGTTTGTAACAATGGGTATTAAGTCAGTAAGTCTGACAAGTGCTTATACATCAAGGTTGCTGAAGGAAAGGTGATTGTTATCTGCCTCTATGTGGATGATATGCTCATCATCGGGAGTGATTTGGAGATAGTAACATCTACTAAGAAATTTCTATCAGCACAGTTCAACATGAAGGACCTTAGAACTGCGGATGTGATTCTCGGAATCAAAATCATATACTCTGAAGAGGGTATTGGATTATTCCAATCTTATTATGTCGAGAGCATGTTAAGAAAGTATGGCTACTATGATTTGTCAGAACTGTCAGTGCCGTATGATTACAATAAGAAGGTTCGACCGAATACTGGAAGACCAGTAGAGCAGCTAAGCTACTCAAAGATAATTAAAAGTCTTATGTACACAATAAGCTGCACAAGACCAAATACAGCATTCGTTGTAGGAATGCTTAGTAGATTCACAAGTAATCCTGGAAAGCTCCATTGGGATACTGTCCAGAGATTGATGAGATATTTATAAGGAACTATAAGTCGGGGCTTATTCTACACTGAATATTCGGCTGTAATCGAAGGCTATTCAGATGCGAGCTGGTGCTTAAAACCAGATGAGTACAGATCTACTGGAGGTTTTGTCTTCACCATGGGTGGAGCTGCCATCTCGTGAAAATCTAAGAAGCAAACCATGATTGTACAGTTATCGATGGAATCTGAGTTCTTCGTACTCTGTGTTGCAGGAGATGAAGCTAAGTGACTCGGTTGTATTCTCTGAGATCTTCCATTGACAGAATTGCAAGACGCAATTACTATCTATTGTGATAATCAGACGACGGGTGTTGTAGCAGCAAACTTGTTATTCAATGGAAAGAAGCGGACCATTCGTCTGAAACATGGCTATTTGAGAGAACTCATTTGTCAATGAGTCATCTCGGTGATTGACATTCGGTCTTCAGAGAATATGTCTGATCCTTTGACTAAAGGTCTGAAAAAGGACGTAGTCGAAAGGACGTCTACTGCAATGGGTCTCAAAGTTTTGTGAGTCTTATAAATACTTACCATGTTCGTCAAATTATTAGTTCAAAGCCTACGTTACTAATAATAAGATAACTGGTTCAAAAGTTAAGTAAGATTTGTAAAGTTTGGTGAGTCTTACAAACACTTACCATTTACATCAAGTTATTAGTTCAAAGTAAAGTTTGGTGAGTCTTACAAACACTTACCATTTACATCAAGTTATTAGTTCAAAGCTTACGCTACTAATGATAAGATGATTGGCTTACAAACACTTACCATTTACATCAAGTTATTAGTTCAAAGCTTACGCTACTAATGATAAGATGATTGATTCAAAAGTCAAATAAGATTTACAAGTAAAATCCTATCATGAATAAAGGTTGTCTGTTAAGCCTTAATGAGTCCAAAGCATTTCGGATGCGGAATGTTGGATAGGTAACATGCCTAAAGGACTCACCGATGATCCTATCATGTAAAAGGATTAGCTGTTAAGCCTTAATGAGTCCAAAACATTTCGGATACGGAGTGTTAGATAGGAAACACGTCTAAAGGACTCACCTAGAATCCTATCATGAGAGAGGATGACTCTTAAGCATTAATGAGTTTAAAGCATTTCGGATGCGAGATGTTTGATAGGAAACATGCCTATAGAACTCACCTATATATGGATGAAGATTTGGCCGTCTCCTATGATGTCTTGTGGAAAGATACCTAGAGCCCTAACAGAAATCAGGATATGCACAGGGTCATAAATGTGCATAGCAAAGACAAGTGTGGTTCAAAGTGAAAACTATCACAGATGCGTTTGATCTTGTGTGATCGCTAGATTTTAGACATGTGCTGGTTCAAGTCTCTGCGACACCATGCATCTATCCTTTATTCAGTTGATCTAAGAGGATTCAAGTCCTTGCGACATCTACCTTATGCACAACGATTGAAACAACGACATCATTACACAACACTAGTTTAAAAACTTATAGGGGATTGTTGGATTTTTTGGTCAAAACCGCTTTCCAAAATAAGTTTTCAAATTATATATATATTAACTACAAGTACTTTTCATAAATGTTTAGTAGTCTAGTGAAAAATTAATGTTTTGATGTTTCAAAAGGTCCTCTGTTCGAAGCTTGCCAACGGCAAGCCGAGAAGTGTTTTATTTTAATTAATCTCTCATAAGTTCTAGTGGGTTATGGGTCGTAAGCCGTGGGCCAGGGATCTGCGTTAATCGGACTGAGGCGCTAATTGGCGCTTTGTTAGGTGTACTTTGCACTTCGCACAGAGGCATCAGGGCTAGGTAGCGCCCTTTGGCGTCACGTTTGTGCCACTATGGTCACCACGAAGGTTGTGTCGCAGGCTGCTTCGTAACATGAGTACGAGCTACGCATTCGCACAAGGGTGTGACCCTAATGTTCTCGAAATCAGACGAGGTTCGTCTGATTCACAAGATCAGATGAGGTTCGCTCGTCAAACGAGGTTCGCCTGTTTGCGAGGTTCGCTCGTCAGATGAGGTTCACTCGTCAAACGAGGTTCACCTGTTTGACGAGGTTCGCCTGTTCGACGAGGTTCGCCCGTTCGACGAGGTTCGCCCGTTCGACGAGGTTCGTCCTACAGACGATGTTCGTCTGATTTGCTGAGACATGACCCTCGCGTTTCGTAGTAACGCATCCATTGATTGCCTCGTATTCAGAAATTACTGCATGCAGCAGTTACAACGACATTTAGAGCAATTTAATATATTAATGTTACAATCATAATTGTCATTATGAATTGTAACAGTCGTATTAATTGATGGTGACTCTTGAGCTGGTCTTAGAGGCCTATAAATAGCACCCCTTAGGCAGCTCTTGTAGTTGTCTAGAGAACTTGGAATACGAACGTTGGATCGAAGAGATATTGATGTTGTTGTTGTTATTGTTATACTGCTGCTGCAGAAACTGTGCCTGCAGGAACTTACCCTAAAACCGAAAGGTTCTGAGATCGAGGAGATCTTTGTCTTGACCGAAAGATCTTATAGATCGAGGAGATCTTGACAGTACTAGGTTGGTGCACACCAGAGTACTGTACTGCTGTTCCTGAAAGCAGTTTGGCCTTAGGATCCTTGCATCGCAGTAGGCCAAATATTGCTTTAAGCACAGTGTTTCACAAACGCATAACAGTTAACTTGAAAAAGTTTAAAATTACAACACATCAAAATTTTACTGTTTTATTCCAGATTTAACAACAATCTCCAACAATTTCTAATTTGTGATGTACCTTTTTTTTAAGAAAATATTTCATTGTGATTTTTATCACGCTTGATGTATTGGAAACTAAAGAAATCTAATTACAATAAGCATAAACCACAAGCCAAAGTGAGGAAAAGACGCCTAAATAAAGCAATGCTCATCTTCCTATCATATTAAAGGCATTTAATTATGAATAATTCAGTGCATAATATAAAGTAATCATATAATGTACAATCACAAACAAGTAAATTTGACACAAAAACACAACCAAAATGAGAGAGAATTTATCCATTACCCAACAATCCATGTCATCAAGAACAAAACCGAAAGCCCCTCCGCCGATTTCTCTCTATAATTTGTTATAATCTGAGGAACTTCAGCAACTCCCCAGCTAAGAACACTGACCAATCCAAGGGTTAATGCAAAACCGTCCTTTGCATTGCACAAACAATATTTCAAGTAGGTCCAAGCCCATTGAGAGCAATGCTGACTTGGGGAGCAAATATGTGAAGTTTCTCTGGTACCCAACATTGCACAAACCTGAAAAAAAAGTCAAAAAATGCCCAGAAAAACAAAAGGGTCTTTAATACTAAAAAATGATTGGAAAAAAAGAAAACCCCAGAAAACATACCTCTGTTTGGATCCTTGAGAGGCGAAGAACCAATACAAACTCTTGTAAATTTACACAGAGTCCAATGCCAGCCGAACTCAGAACTCAGGAGACCTCGGAGATTCTAAAAGGGATTTTCTTTAATGGGGATTTTTAAGGTATATACAAAAGAGGGGATATTCTGTTCAATTTTCTTTGACGTAGTAAAAAAAATGTTATTAAAATTATTTATATTGAAAAGATGGACGGTTGTGATAAGATCAGAAGTTTTGCTATTAACCATGATGGGCCGGATTGGGCCCATTTTCAGTTACCGGGAACATGTGTGGGTCCCAATTGAGTTGGGTTCTTGTTTCTACAATTGCTGTTTTTTTGTTCTTTCTGCTCTCTCTCTCTCTCTTCTGTCTCTTGCCAATGATAATAGAGAACATGAAATAGTTAGTTGTCTTTTCTCTGGATGTTAAGATAATGAAATAATTAGCGAATAATATATCTTTAATATATTTAATTTCAAAACTTTATTGTATTAAATTCCTTCAAATTATGTAAATTATTTGAATCAGTATTCAGTAAGTATCACAATCTATTAAATCTTAAAGATATCTTTTCATTTACTTAGTCTTCAAATAGGAAAATATGATCAACAAAAATACAAACAAATTAAATTAAACTGAAACTATTAATATACAAACATTTAACGACTTTCGTAAAACTTAATTTGATTAAAGTTTTACTTATTTTCATATTTAGAAAAATTACTATTCCTGTTCGATTTAAGCATGGGACCAAGTAATGGGTCAGGGATGGGCCGGATCTAGAACGGCTAACGATGAAACTTTTGGAGCCCTTTAATTTTAGTGTCGGCCTTCGGACTTAATGAAAATACTTTTGTCCTTCGAGCTCCTGAGTAGTCTAAGTCTTATAATTTATGGAGGTGGATAACTTATAAACTTCAAATATACAAATATACAGTATAAAGAAACAAAAAAAAGCAAATCTTGGATGCTAGATTTATTAGGAATCAAATCAAAACTTGATTGGTTTGGGATTTTAAGATGAGCTCTCAGAAGGACTTCCAACTGGCTGAACAGGTTGAGATTTACCAATTTAAAAATGTTATATTTCTTTTAAAATAACAAGTATTAATCCCGTGCTCCCACGGAAAGTTTTGATTTCCTTAGTTTATACGTCCTTTGAATATGTTAAGCTGCCCTAGTGTAATAAAAGAGATGATTAATTATATTTCTTTATAGACTATAACTTACGGTTCATCTATTAGCATATACATTAAATGCTTACGAATGAAGAGACATGAGTACCTCTTTTTGTTATGTTATGAGAAAGGAGAATAGAGTTTTTATTTTATCAGTTAAAGTAGATAATTTGAATGGTAGGTTATTTCTTAAATAAATTGAAACCTTTATTTATAATATACCTTAACCATCAATCACTTCTTTACAAATCTAAATAAAAATTTAGGATTTCTGAAGACTAAAAATGACCATGATTTCAATAGCTCGATATTTCAATCAATGTTCATGTTTGGTTCGCTTGAGATTGGGACATGAATGAGATTAGAACATTCCTCTAATCTTCAAAATGGATAGTAGAAAGTTTCATCATCCTCTAGTGTTCAAGACATATGACTTCCCATGACCATTATACTATCCCACCTCACTCATTCCCCAAACAATATATTAAAATATTATAATATAATATATTAAATTAGGGATCCGCTTATAATTTAAAACTTTTAGGGGGCTATTTGCAAAGTTTTGAGGGTTTTTGTATTTTTTGAAAATTTTAAGGGATGGCTGTAAAGTTTTAAAGGGGGCTATTTAGTAAAGTTTTTTGTGAGGTTATTTGTATTACATAACTTTCAGGCATTTTTTTTAAATTCTTTGAGTGTGTTTGTAATTTATAAAATTTTAAGGGGTTAATAGTAAAAATTTTAAGAAGTTATTCGTAATATTTTGATGTATTTAGCACAATATTTGTTACTCTAGCAGCATTGCTGAAGCTAGTTGTAAAATTTTCAAATAGCTGTTTATAAAAGTATTAGTGAGATATTTATAAATTTTAAAATTTTTAAGGGTTATTCTCAAAATTTTTAGGAGTTTCCTTGTAAAACTTCTGGGGGATATTTATAATTTTTGAAATTTTTAGAGGACTAATTGTAATATTTTTAAATTTTCTAGAGACTGTTTGTAATTTATAGAATTTAAAGGGGAAATTTATAATTTTCTAAATTTTATGGTGCTATTTGTAATACTCAAAAATTTCAAGGGTTTATAATTATTGAACCTTAAGAGGTTGTTTACAACTTTATTGATCTCTTTGTAATGTTTAGATTTTTCTTAGGGTGTAGGTAGCTTTTGAAACCTTGAATGGGTCCTTTGTAAATATTTTAGGTAATTGTTTGCAATATTTCATTTTTTCCAACATGATGTTAGGTTATTTTCACAACTTTTATGAGCCTAGTTATAAATTTTTCAAAGGGCTATTTGTATAATTTTCAAGGGGATATTTTTAATTTTTAAAACTTTTGAGGTGCTAGTTGTAAAAGTTCAAGGAGTTGTTCATAAAATTTTAGAATTGTAGGGGTTCTTTTTAAGTTTTGAACTTTTCATGGGAATTATGTAATTTTTTGGATTTCAAGGGATTTTTTTTTGTAATTTATGGATATTAAAAGGAGCAGATTATAATATATTGATTTTTATGATGCTATTTATAATTTTTAAACCTTAAGGGGTGTTTGTAATTTTGTAATTTTTTACTATCCTATTTGAAATTTTAGATTTATCAGGAGGTTGTTTCTAAATTTTGGATTTCAATTGGTAGTTTGTAATTTTTAGACTTTTAAGGGGAAAGGTGATGATTTTGTAACATTGAAAAACTTTTTTTTATATATAAAGGACGATTCTGATTAATAGCATTTTCAAATTATAAAATTTTAATTTGATAAGGATCCTTAGGTAAAATAAGGATTAGAAATGAGGGATTTGATTATTAAAATTTTCTTACTATGGACTGTTTTAATTTAATTAGGATTTTTAAGTGAAGATATGATTAGGTTTTAATCTATCAATTTCTAATTGGATAGATGGAGACTTGACTGTTATACCCCTAAAAAATACTAAATATTAATCTGCACAGAGCAGTCGATACATGTTTTATACTATACCTAATACGATCAATTCAACACCATGATAATCTCCGCTACAGCGCGTCCGACTTGATGGGATGACATCTCGCGTAACCAAGATAAAAGGTGGTTCTACTCGGTCAACCATTCAATTGATTCCGCAAGCAACCCGACTCGGCCTACTATTCAGCCGACATCTCGCGTAACCGAGTCAAAAGGCGGTACTTGTCGATGAACCTGGCCAATCGCGCTTGTGAATAACCCCCACTCGGTCTGTTGTAGCAGCTGTCAACATGTATAGTTGACCATCGTCGGACAACTAAAAGAGTTTGTAGTTTTCTCGAACCCCACGCCGACAACCGCTTGTCCTTGCGTCAACTACTCTGACAAAGTCATTATTGCTGTAGTCCACAAAGTCTTTATGACTTATCAGGCTACCGTTAGCACCAAGCAGGTGTTGTCACTTGGCACTGACCACCTGGATGGCCCATCTTCGTCAACGGCCAACACCTGTCAGCTGTCTGCTGATTCAGCTGCCTAGCAGGACTCAGCCCAAGTTACCTTCTTGCCCCTCAGATCTACTATAAAAAAGAGAGACACTGCATGAGGTAACTATCTCTGTTTTTTTATACAAGAGCTAACTCTATATTTCCCCACTCAAGATCATCTACTGACTTGATCATCGTAGGAACAACCGGAGAACCCAACTCCACCCTCTTACTAGTTCTTTCTTATGTAGGAAAAGAACAGTAAACCCCAGAGCCATACATCAGAAGGAGTTAGAGAACCTTAATCACTCCACAAACTTACAAATTATTCCCTATTTGGTAATTAACATCAACAGTTTGGTGCCAGCCCTTCTTTCTTCTTCGATCACGATGTCTGGTTCTGAGCGTAGGCATGTACATTCAGCCCTTGAAGAACCACATGCGGACTACATCACTCAAGCTCAGTTGCAAGAATCCACTCAGCGCCTCACCCAATTATTTCAGCATCAGTTTGCGGTGTTCACCAACGAACTCCTCAACCGAATCCCTCCTCGACAATCTTCCTCCCCGCTGGCTCCACCATAGTCAGCAGGCCAACCATCGGTCGCCCATCCACCACCAACAAGGCAGCTGTTGATCCTTCCAACACCAGCACCTACCATGCCATCGGGTCATTATAGAGACTATGTTGAGTACATGTCTCCTCATCCACGCTTAGCAAGTTCACTTTGTGGATTCTCACTGACATTATCTGTAGTTTGTAGAAGCCACAGGAGAGAGCCCTAGTCCTGGCCGTGATGATCGAGAACCCACTACTGGAGGAGCCTCGCGAAGTGCTAGGCGTCATCATGCCACTCCAGGCCTGTCAACCACAAATGTGGCATCTGGTTACGATTAGTCTTTCCGGCCAATAGCTAAGGCCATTGGGGGAAACATTCCCCTTACTGATGACATCATGAATGCCTCTTGTGAGAAATTTAAGATGCCGCAGGTGGAGAAAAACAAGAGTGAAGGAGATCCAGTTGAGCGTGTCTAGAACTATTGTGACATGATAACCATGTTGTAAGAGTCAAAGGCAATCATTTGTAGATTCTTTTCCATCACATTGATGGGAAGCGCCAAACTTTGGTGGAATTCCCTAGCAAAGAAATCCATCAACAACTTTGAATAGCTCAGCCAGAAGTTCGTGCGTCACTTTTTGGCCGACAAAAAATAGAAGTTTCTTTCCCATATATTAATACAAATGAGGTGAGAGCCTAGAGAGAGTCTGAGGGACTATATCAAGAGGTTTCAGGCCAAGAGATTGGAAGTGGATGACCCTGGGAGTGCAGTCACCATGTTCCCTATCGTGGATAGTCTACAAAATAATGAGTTGGTTGACTCGCTTGCCAAAAAACAAGTCACCAACTATGAGCAATTAATGGCCAAGGCCCATGGATACATAGACATGAAAGACGTCCGAGCCTATAAGAAGCGGCCAAGGAGGTGGAGGTAGCAGCATCAGTAGTAGCAATAATAAC